ACAAACAAAAATAGAAATTTGATGACTCTAACAACATTCATTCAATTATCATCATATTTCATATTTATTAATCATATTAAATATTTTCATTTATTTACGCTAGCATCTCATATTTCCTAGTATATCATCTATCAAACCAAACAACATTGCTGGATGTTTGCAAAAAATTTTCACCATAAAATTTCTTACAACAATAATTCACATTCATAAATTAAATTAAATTAATAAATTTCGGTAGAGAAATAAAAGCAGTAAAAAAGATTTCTGTCACGAAATTCCAGAAAAATGTCAGCATTTTAAGAATTTATTCATCATAAGAAAAGTTTTCGATCAAAAGAAGGCTTCACATTTTTTAAATTACAGAATCTTCCGGTTTATTCGACCCAACACTTTGTTTGGAAGTTATGGAACTTCATTATTGCGTTCCGAAGCTTCAAACTTTATCATTTTGGATCGATGACCCGACTTGTGGGGTTCTTTATATGAAGAAGATGCTTTAGCATTTTATGCTTTTAAAAGAATTTCAAAAATGAATGTTCATGGAATTTTAACAATTCTTACATCTTCTACTCTCACTCTGGTCCAGTGATGGCCAATCTATGTGCCGCGGCACATTAAAACTTTTTGGGATACCCCACAAACCGTATACTGTATGCGGTTTCGGTCACGGTCTACCAACAATTTGACCCTGGCAGAAAAAAGGTTGACCATCACTGCTCTAGTCTATAAATTTTATGAAAAAAACATCAGTTAACCTTCGTTATCATATAAAACATTCGCTTACCTAATGCTATTATCACAGAATGGTTCGCAATGTCCCACATAATTTAATTTTCAGATGAATAAATTTCAAGGTCATGGACTTATGACAACGAGACCGTAATTAAGTTGAAAATTATTTCCATGTTTTGTGTGAAACAATCCATGAGCATTAAGGATGAATTGAAATTGAAACTGTGTAGCTATGTGGAAGTCAAATTTTGGGAGTTTTATAGGTATTTTCGAGCAACCAGCGCATTTTTTGGATACATTTCCTCATAAAAAAGAACATTCAATGTTGATAAATTAAAAATAGAATTTTTTTGAAAAGCGACTTTTTTCTATGTCAGAACTCTACTATCTGAAGATGTATAGCGAATTGTACTTTACGATAAAAATCTACATTAAATGATTTTTTTCATTTCCTCTCCGTTCCAAAAATAAAAATTCTATAAATAAAGGAACTCCCGTACTTTAAGTTTGTCATTATGCCAAAACGATTTTCAGATCAAAAATCATTCTTTGGTCACAAAGTAGCTTCGTTGGCTCAGTTGGTAGAGCGTAAGTCTCATAATCTTAAGGTCGTGAGTTCGATCCTCACACGGAGCACTTCTTTTTTGGTGAAATTTTCTTTTTTGTTGATTTGTTGTTTTTTGAAACTTTCAATATTTTTGGGGATTTTTGACTTTTTTCGGGGGTCGATTATAAATGATGTCACTTTTTGATAAGGGTGAATTTAAAAATTTTGCTACGTTATTTGTGATTTTTTGAACTTCAAATTAAAATATTGAAAAATAATCCTGATTCAGTGCTGACGATTGACATCATTTTTACATGATCCCCATTATATTGAGGAAAACTCAATTTCTATAGAAAAAGTTTTCTTTGTAAGTTTTGAAAACCCAATCTAAATCTTCAATCCACAAAATATTTCAATTAACTTTTGGACCCAAATATATCATAAACTCGATACATTTTAACAATTCACAACAAAAAAAAAAGTCACACGAAAAGGTCAACAATGGACAAAACAACTTTTTTCTTTCCACAGCAAAAGCTACACAAAAAAATTGAATTTTTGTGTGGAATAAAAAATGAAGTCCTATTTCACTTTTAATATAGGAAATGTCAGGACGTCATTATTCACTTTTACATTATCGCCATTTCAATTTTGATAAATGATGCCCGTGCCTGTCTGACAAAAAAAAACTTTTTCTTCTTCTTATAATGCTAATATCGAGAATGCTCTTCATTTTTACCGATAAGAAAAAATATTAAAATTAAATTTATTAAGTTTTTGTTCTTGACAATGAAAAGTTTTATGAAATGTGGTGTAATTGCTGCTTTAGAATGTTTATTCCTATTTACATGAATTGACAGAACAGCTTCAGGAACCATGACGTTCTCAGTCAAAAAGTGAAATGAATTTTGGAGTGAATAATTAGTTTAAAGGAGACAGACTCCTTAAGTTGTATGCTTTGGAGTGAAGTTGATGAAGTGTATTGAGGATTGGTCCTTAGAGGCATGTGAAGAGGAGTGACTTACCAAGCGAAGAGTGACTAAGGCTACTACTCAAGTATAACAATGGTAAAGGTATGGTCGTTGTTTGGTTGGAAGGTTGGCACCAATTGATAGTCACTAATCGGTTTCAATAAACAGTTTGAGTGTCATTAGAAGAATCATAAAGTTTAGGATTTGGATTGTTTATTGCTATCACTGACCCCCCTCCCCTTCCCCTTTCCTTCATTTCTTAAAACATTTCTTGTTTCTCATTAAGTCAATTATTTGAGTTACGTTAAATTATCCAACTAGATATCAATAAACCACATTCTCAAAGGTTATGGTTCGATTCCCGCCCACAAAAAGTCATTTTAACTTTTTATTTAATCATTGTCCCATAAATGTCTTACCACAAAAACCCATTTTGTCAATTCTATAATTTAATTATAATCTGACCGCACACATCCTCCCAAAAAATATCTTCTATCATCCGTCGGAAGTCTTTGATCATTCAATCGAAAATTTCATCCACTTCTATGCCATACATCTTGACATTGTCGTCAAAATTGCTTTTACTTAAGTGATTTCTTTACGATTCGATTACCAATCATCTAAACCTTTATGTTACGTAACAAAATCTTTCAATATATTTGTTATCAAATGATCTGAAGGGTAATTCCATGAGTAATGAGAACTGTGAAAAAGCAATTTACAATATTTCTCTACTTGTAAAAATTCAAATTTCCCAAAACCGTTAAAATTTCTCAACGTTTTGTTGTTTATACAAGTGAATTAGCAGCAATATCATCAAAGAGAGATGGTTCAAATATATATGATCTTTAATGTTCTGAAACTTTAGTTACTTGCTCAATTAAATCAAATAAATCTAATAAACTTACAAGTAAAATCAAGAAAATCTAACGGTATTGTGAATTTGAAATTTTTTTCAGTGTTCTGTTTTGCAATAATCGGTCAAAAATTGACCGATTAATGCTAGTTTTTTTGGTTTTTCTTCTTAATTACAGCATTAAAGAATGCAAATTATACATAAAACAAAAGCCTGGCTAATATGTAATATGTTAAAAGTAACTTTGGAACATAGAAGTGTGTATTTAAGTAAATATTAGGAAATGTTTAGAAAACGATTTTTCTAAAACTTGACCGATTAATTTTACTTTTATTAAAAAAACAGAAATTAGACATATTTTTGATGTGAAATTCTCACATATGGAGATAAATATTGTGTTAATAAACATAATAAAGTTACAATTTGGAGTACAAACTTCTTAGTTAAGGAAATATTTTTGAAAAATTGGTGCATTAAAATTTTTTTCACTCATGGAATTACCCTGAAGCTGAATGTTTTCAATTTAAAAGATTAAGGCGCCAAAAAACATTTTCAACGCTTTTTTTTATCTCTAACAAGAGACATTTCATCTTGTATCGTATTTTTCCATTTCTCTGATTGAATGTTCACATGATAAATGCTCAACATCGTCGTATCGCAGCCTCCCCTTGATACTGGATCGATATGTGAACTACAAACTTTTAAAACGAGACGAAAAAGTTTTTCATAAAGTCAGTAGAAGCTTTTCAAGACGGATTAGCATCAACGCAAAAAAATGTTACCCTCCAGAAAGTCTTTTTTCATAATTTTCGTCATTTTTTTCTAATCCAAATCATCATTAAAAATTTATACAGGTAAGGAAAAAAGGAGAGACAAAGATTGAAGATCTAAGGAGATGAATTCAATAATTCTTCAGAGAAGGAAAAAAAGGTTTGACGCTCCAATACACAAAACAAAATGAAAGGATTGAAAGAAAGGTTGGGATTCTAATCAGAGTTGGTATCTGTATTCTTGGCTAGATGAGTTTATTGGTGCCTGTCAAGTAAGTCTTCGTATTCACGTAAATTAATTTAATCAGAGCAGATTCATAGTTTAAGCTGGCATTCTGTCAAGGTTCTAAGCAATTCCCGATAGCTTTGTGGTAAGACTTTGCTCTTCGGAGATCTTGAGAGTCATTGTTCGAATCTTGATTTAAACAATCTGTTCGAAAAGTACTTTTCTGCTATAAAGCTAGTTCTTAAAAGAACGATTTGACTAGTTTTTGCTCAAACCAAATCTAGGCCTGATTCAGGCTGAATCTAGAGTCAGAAATTAGAATTCCTGTTCTGAAGAGGCTCTTTAATTGACTAGACTTTTTCTTTTAGATTCTAATCTTGGTTTGTGTTAATGTTTAAATACTACTCGAATGGCAAAAGTCGGTTAATCGATCAGAAATTTGGCACTAAGCTGGTGTGACTTTGGCATGGTGCTAGATTTAAATCTAAGCCAGCACCATGACAGAATCATTCCAGCTGAGCGCTGGATTTTTATTCCATTATTTTTTTTTTGCCATTTAAGGCCGTTCACTTATGCGTTCAGGGGGGGGGGGGGGGGGGGGGGGGTCAGCAAGAAAAGAACAATAGAAATTCCTGTAAATCCATTGTTCTTTATGAAAAATTTGGGCTAATCTTCGATAGTTTGGGTATATATTTTTTGTGTGGCTTGATGTGGCCTGATTACTTAAACTTGTTCCTATAGACTATATGAGCAACTGAGTTAAACACTTCTAAGAACAGATAATAAAATATTTAACTTGAACTAGCTGACGTCGGATTCTAGAAATGCTTGACTTTGACAAAAAAAAACCTCAACTAGCCCAGCTAACAAAGTTACCATCACTGCTCCCGATTCTTACCTTGTTTTGATGAGAATCTTTTCTCTTTTTTACTCAACGTTTTCTCTGTTTTGGTTTACACTTCACTCAGTGAAAAAAAGAAGAACTTTTTTGTGTTTTTATTCCTTTTTTTTGTTATGCTTGTTTCCCTTTCACAACACACAAAAAGAAAAAGTTTCACTCATTCATAATATTTTTTTCATCTCATGTTTTCCTTCCCAGAACAACAGCTGTGATTAAAATCGGGATGATGGGATGGAACAACACAAAAAAAAAATTTTACTGATTTTCTCTCAACAAAATATTTGTAAATAAAAAATTATTCCTTTCAGCACACAGCGACAGACGTGTCGAACTTATAGGTTTGGTATTTGCAAATAACTAACTTGAAATGTTCTGTGCGCTCGATTTTCAATGATTGTGAAATGTTTCTTGGAAACATAAACTTTCTTGTATTTCTATGATAATAAAATTCTCATGAGAGATGTGCGATGATATTTCCAACATGGAAGTGACTGTGAGATGGGGTCAGGTTGGGTGGAATTAGAATCAACATGAAAATCAGTATAAAAATTATTGAGAGACTCGGAGAGGAACTAAAAGTGAGAGAATGTTCGAAAATTTCCTCTCGCAATTTTCTTATCAATTTTCGATTCGGTTGAAAAATGTTCATTCGTAAAGTTGCGATGCTGGGTGTGAGAAGGGATCTCATTTGGAGTCAATAAAAATTTAGGAAATCATAAATCTATGGAAAATGGAAATAAAAAAAATATTTAAATAAGACATGTCGAAATAACCCGAAAATGTGGCTCATGTGATACATAGATAATAATAATTTGATCATTTATAACATTTTCAGGATACATGAAACCGCTATCATGTGGCTTTGTATGTTAGGTATGTACATTCTCATCTACAAATTACTGCACCATACAATATGTTATAAACATGAAAAAAAATTAGTATTATTATTTTTGTGAAAATTTAAGGGAGCATTTTGTAATTTGTAGATTATTCGTGGGGAGATTATTGAAATTGTGGGAATCAGATGTCAAATGGCAGAAATTTAATTACTTTTTTGTGTAGACCAGGATTAATTTTGTTAACAATTTGATGCTTAAAATTGAGTTTTTAAATTTCATGTATTTTTAAGATATTTTTAAAATTTGAAAAAATAATTGAACTTAATTAAAAAATTCAAAAACGTATTTTTTTCAAAGCGTAGACCCCCTCAGAATTATTATTTTTAAAGCTTTGTCACTGAATGGAAGCAAAACTGAGCATTTTTTTTATTTTTTGCTTTAAATTTAGAAAAAAAAATAAAAATATGGACTCTATTATAATTACTGATCAATTATTCTTTGCAGCTATGCATAGCTATGTTAATCAATAAACGACAAGAACTAAGATACAAAAGTTTTCTCTTTTTTGCATTTACCTAATTCACAAAAAAAAAACATTAAAATAGAATTTTTAAAACCATGGACCCCTTAAATTTTTTGTAAATCACCAAAACATTTCTCCATTGAAAAAGCATTTATAATTTTTCAATAGAGTCACTTAATCCAACAAAGCTCATGAATCCAAACAAACTACTCAAACTTTCACCATCATCATGATCCTAAAAACTTCATCTAACATACCTGAACTCTCTCATTCAATCCCTATTGTTATGTATAATGAGAAAACATTAACCACAATAATGCATGTATATTCCATATGCCTCTCTGCACACATTCATCATAATCATTATTCATCAATTTACAAGATTTTTATTTATATGCTGTGTGCATATATGTGGATAGCATGGAGTGGAAGTATTATTTATACTTCATTGATGACAATCTCCTTTATTGCTCTTTGTGCTCAATATTAAATGAGAAAATTTGCTTTTAAAGATTAAAGTCCATTAAGAGAAAGAGAAGATTTTTTTTTTCTTGTTCCTTTACATTTTTTCTGTAAGATGTGCTTTGGTAAGTAATTTCCGGAGCAAGGTACTTATGTATGTAAATAATGAATTAATAAGGAATGTCTGTGAAGTTACTGATTAGTTTTGTTTGCGAAAGGGAGGCTTGAAAATTTAAAAAGAGGAAATTAGATACTTGTGGATAAAGTGTGAGTTTGTTGGATATAATTGAGTATTAAGGTAGATTTGGTCGCTAAGTTGTTGATTTTACTCATTTTGCGAGCTATTCTATTAATCTCTTGTAGCTTTGACTTTAAACTTTACATTAACAATCTATAGGCGTAGGTTCGATTCTCAGCATTCACCAGATGTTCATTGATCCCATTATATCAATCCTTACAATCTTTAGTCAACAATCTAGTTCCAACTTCCTAAGTTCGACTCTAAACTACAATGTTAACAAAATCTAGCTCATTAAGCCATCCAGATGCTAAAACTTTTTCTTACTCCACAGAATTCAGCATTAAATCAACAATTCGCTGAACTTCCACCTCTAAAAGACTTCCTACAATCAACAATTTCAAGGAAATAAGCTTTAAAAATATCCATTCTTGTATTTCCACTTCGAAGTACTCCATTCAACCTGAATTACAATCGTCTGCCTCTTCCTTGTCACAATCTTCCTAGAATATCTCTATTTACACAGAAGACTCAAGAGTTCTTGTTTCACGTACCATGTAACAAGCTTTTCAATCCATCAAAAAAAAAACCTTTAAGACTTCAGCATACCTTTAACTTTCGTCATCTCGCATTTCTTCTTGTTCTTCACGGAATCAAATATGAGAACAAACATATGAGAGATTTATGCTTAATGGGAACACAAAAAAAAATATGAAACGAGAAATAATTGAATGCCTGTGCATGTACATACACATATTTGTGTTCAATTAAATCAAAAAGGAAGCAACATATGAAATGTTATGTTTTTATGTTATCCATATGGTGGAGGTAGAAGTTTATCAATCATATTTTTGGTAATTTCACTTTATTACGGGCTGGAACAGGTTTTTTAGGTTGCATTTTAATTAAAGTCACAGATTTTGGTGAAGTTTATTATTTTTTTGGGGATAATTTCATGAATAAATTTTTAAAATGAATTTTTTATGGAAGCCTGAAAAAATAATAAAAGCTGAAGCTAGATTTAAATGGAATCAAATTGCATTGTTGCTTATTCAAACTCAAGGGAGCGGAGATGATGAAATGATCAAAAAATTAACAAAAATTAACAAAATAGAACAAAATGTAATTTATCAGTTCCACAGCTTTGTTCACACTACATGCTACTATAACTGCAATATAAAAGCAGGAATTAAACTTAGATAATTACCAATCGCAGACCAAGTATTCGGTCCGAACAAGAAAGCTAGAAAGTCAGGTTCTTATCAATTCTTGTTATGAATTTTGTGTCTTTAATAGTTCAACAGAAAAATGCTCAACCCTTATCAGTACTCGAACTTAATATAATTGCATACCAGAATAACAGAACATTTCAAGACGACAACCCTGAATTCTAAAACTGCATACTTGCTTCCTAAATCAAAAGCTCCCAACTTTAATTTTAATCCATAATTCATTATTCGTCTATAAAATAATCATAAACTTCCTACTTATCTTTTCCTCACAATATCCTGTATACTGCATATGACAATTTATTATAAACCGATATACATATTAAGGAAATAATGGATATTTTGATGCATTTGTTTTAATAATAACTATCCATATCTTCCTCATATACAAATAGCCATATTTATAATTTATAGAATTGATTCTGACTTCAATTTTGCACGATTCAATAGCCACAAAAAATTAATATCTCTAAAGACAGATGTTTGTTGAATCAAGCATATTTTGTCATATTATTAGGGTGATAATTATCGATGATTAACTATTTTGATGATGACACTCAAGTTTGGTGAACTATCAATTAATTTTTCCATCAATAGATTTTTGTTGGTTAAAAATAAATTGGAGAAAATTTTATCAAACGTAATCAACCATTAAGTCATCCCATAAGACCTTTAACCTCCCACACCATCGTTAGCCTTTAAGATTAAATAGAATTTCACACTTCATTATGCAAAATTTACTCCTCATTAGTTTACTTTGCGGTTAATTGTTAATGCCTAAGGGATCTCTTTAATCCACCGCATAACAAAACGATTTATTGTTCATCTTAAGTACTTTGGTGTATTTCATGAGAAATCAATATCAACACATAATTTTGTGGTTGGTCTTTACTCAATTTTCATTCGACTTGAAATTTAATCGCCTTATAATTTTGCAGATTTACTTTGTGGGAATTAATACATTTGTTTATTGGCATGACTACGTGTGCTTTCTGAATGAGATTTTAAAGTGCTTTTGGTTTGAATTTGATTTGTTTGTTTTTAAGAGGATGCTTTTGAAGATTGAGTGCTTTTATAACTAAATTATGTGTTTTAATCTTTAAATTAAAGCTTATTTTGTTTCATTTTAGTGAAGTCTGCTATTATACGATAAAAAATCAAAAGCTCTACATTTTTATTTAAAGTTGGCGTAGTTTTGCACCCCTTTTTAACCTAAAAATATAGTTTTAAACCACTTGAACAGTAAAAAGATATAGTTTTACAATCTTATTGTTTAAATCGACATATTTTTCATATCTTTTGGCTCGAAATCGCATAATTTCACAGCATTTTCCTAAAATAAATGTAGAATCATGCCCCTTTTTTCAAATAAACGTAGCTCCATCCCCCTTTTTAAAATAACCGAAGTTTCAAGTCATTTTTTTCAATTACATGTTTTTTTTATGTTTCTATATTTCAAAAAACGCGGATTTAATGCTGTTTTATTTCAAATGATGTATTTTTATGCCCTATTGGATCCGACCAATGAGGTTTAGCACACCTTTAGTTCAAAATAACATAGTTTTGATCCTCTTTAATTTTCAAATCGCATTGCAACCATTTTTTTAAAGTTCATCTCAAAACTTCCAATTTCTTAAATAATAATACATTGTCCTTTGCAAAACCCAAAAGAAAACAAGAAGATTAAACCGAAATATCTACACTTACATACACTAGCAAATTCAAATATATATATTCTAAATAAATTCACCCCATTTCAACCCTATCCTTATCCCACGCTCTACAAACAACATTTGATTCAATAATGAGACTTTAAACAAGTGTTGAAATGTACAATCAAACATTTATCTCGTCTTTTGTTTATTGGGGGTTTTCCTTTTTCTTCATCCATATCCTTTATATTTGCATAAGAAGAATAAAGATATGAGAATGATATCAAGCATAAAAGAGCATTACATTCAAATATTCTCTTTTTAAAAATTGTCTGGTCTCATTGTGAAAATAAAAAGGAATAAAATATGGGAGAAAAAAATCTTGTCCCTTTTTTTTTTGTATAAATTTTAATCGAGCTAGTAATTTTCAAAACCACAAAGAGCCCCAAAATTCCATTCTTATCCCTTTTTGTTGATGCTCTTTAAAGCTAAATTGTCCTTAAATTACATAATTTGATAGAGTCTCTTGAAACGTTTACGATGACGTGATTAATGAATTTGTAAAATTTGCTTCTTACTGTCACTCGTCTGCTGCTGCTATCGCTTTCCTTTTTCCATTATAAATGGACACAATAAACCTTTTCATTACCGTATGTCATTTTTCTATCAGTCAAATTGAATCAATTAATAATAGATTATACAATTTATTATTATTTATTTTTATTCTGTCACTGCTGGAATATTAATTGTGATTTATCAATGTTGTATGGATTGAAAGTTGTTGGAGGGACTGTTGAGATGCTTTTTGAAGGTCTCAAGAGGTTTTGAAAATGATCTACAATTTGCTAAATTGAATAAGGATCAAAAGTTATATTAATGGTCAAATCATTAAGAATTGGCTTTTATAAAGTCGAAAAGAAGAGGTTCAATTCCTCAAAATATTGAAATGTACATAAATTTTATCATATTTGTACAGTTCTTTTCACACAGATACAGAAAAAAATATAATTATTTTAAAAATATTTTGAAAAGCAAGGTTAGCTTGAAAAAGAATTTTTTGTATCCAGTCCAATCCTTTAACCATTGCAAAAGTACGCGAATTAATCAAACAGACGCAACTGCCATTATTGCAATACCTCCTATCAACACATACCTGAGCGAACGTCAATTCAATGTATAACTCGAATGCTTTCAATATTCGATCAACTTTTGACATATACATATGTAAATTAATGGCTTTCCTCCCTCTCCATCCGTAATAATAACATTGATGAAAACAATATTTCAATTTTTTTTACAACACAAATATTATTCATCATGGGTATAATTGAAACTTTGTAATTTGCAAAATTTTTGATGGATACGATGAATGGATGTTTAATGAACAGCTAGATATTCATTTTACCAATATTAATTTACGCCAACGACCGTTGTGGCAATATTTGTCTAGTAATGTAAATTAAATTATATTCAATGGATATAATTTTCCCGTTTAGCATCCTCAAATGATCTTTTCTGTTGCGGGAGTTTTTGTGAAATGTCTGAAATGAGAGATGATGATGATGTTGTGGGTATTTCGATGAATTTTGCATATTTATTAATAAATTAGCGAATAAAGCTTGAGGGATTGGTGAGTTTTAATGAATTGATGATTTTTTTAAGTTGAGGGGACGAATTAATTGAGGTTATGTTTAATAAGGTAGATTTTTTTTTATTTAATCGAAGTTATTACAGTTGTGCTGTGCAAAAAGGAGAAATCTTGCTTAAATGTCATCAAAACTGGGTTTTTGTGGCGCTGAAAGAGCTTGAGGTTTTGAAAATTATTGAGAAAGATGGTAGATCTTGGTAGATAACCTAGTCATCCTTCATGTACTGCTCCATAGCATCTAATAAAATATTTACAGGTATATCAATCTAGATTCTGACTTAGAATAAGATAATTTCGCTAGATAAGCGTTAAGACTACACAATCTAAGTCAGATTGTGTCTAGGAAGCTTTTCCCAGAAGTTTAAACCTAGACATCATTTATAAATTGCTTAATTATATCACAAATCAAAAGAATCCCGTCCTATCTCAACCCCTACACCAAAAATTGACGTTAATTAGTTTCCAATATCAAAAACACTGAAATCCCGAGCGACATTCAACAGCCTTATTGCAGCCATTCGACGGTCACAAGGCAGTGCCTACTGCCAACTGCCTTGAGTCAAGGCGAATCAATAATCACCATACGACTGCCTTATCGCCTTGATGGCAACTCCTGACCTCCATATTTCCGCGCGCAAGGCTATCTTGAAACTGCCACCGACTTCTGACTGACTTGCCTTGTAATCGCCTAGATGTTGACGAGGTGGTGCTTACAAGGCAGTTATTATGGCAGCAAAAGACTGTTATAATTCTGTTATAATTTTTGATTTTTTTGAAAATTAAATGCTCGTTAGCTCATTTGGTTTTGTACTATAATTAATAAGGAAATGAGATTCAAAAGTTTAAGTCTTATCACGACTTAAGTCTTGATAGGAGCACGAATCAGTGAAAGTGCCATGCAACAAAAGATATTATTTAAAATATCTTAGGAAAAGTATGGAAACATTTCTTCGACTTATATTAGTCATTTCTGATTTTACTTGTGAAGTATGTTGCGACAATGCTGAAATGGGTGGCAGTCATATGACAGCCTTGTAACTGCCTGAGCAAGGCAGAAATTTTAGAAAAAAACATTTGTTTTGGTGGCAGTCGTATGGTAGCCACAAGGCAATGTAGTATAAGGCAGTGCCTTGAAATCGACTTGTTCAAGGCAAGGCAGTTTGGAGGCAATCACACAACTGCCATCGCCACAAATTGTCGCTCGGGAATATTAACATTAAAATTTGCTGAAATTTAAAATAATATTATTTTACCATCGAGTTCATCCAATCTCCTAATTAAATGTATTTTAATCTGAAACAAATCATCTGAAAATGAAAAATTAAAGCTCAAATGTGTTACAATTTCCACAGATATTTCCTATTTTATTTTTTTCATCATAAATTTTTTTTAATATTTTTTTTTCACTTCACAACATTTTCATCATCAATATTTAATTTTTATAATTAAATTCCAATGAAATCAAGTAAATATTATTTCATATAATTTTTTTTAAATTACTTTTTTTTCCTCAATTTTCATGAAAATTAAATTTCAGAATTTTTTTTTCTGCTCTTTTTAAATTTTTTTTTCATCTCAAAGTTTTTATTTTAAGGCAGTGGGATTCATGCGGGATCCTCGACGTCAAAATATTTATCTTCATACTTTGTAATATCTCAATAATATTCAATTTTATACCTAATATCCATTTAAATTGTAAGTAAGGTAAGTGAATTTTTTTATCATCATTTTTTTTTCATCATGTGAATCCGATGAATTTAATATCATCAATTTTTGTCGTGTTCGAGGATTGGGATGCATTTTGTGAGGACTTTGTGGTTTCATTGATTTTATAAGGGCAACTTAAGATTGATGTCCCATACTAGTATCTCAACTTAGTGGGATTTGTGTAATTTTTGAGATGGGATTACTATCTGCTCACTTATTGGAATGTCTAAAGAGCTCTGGTTCCAATACCTTTGATTTAAAATCATTTTTTCTAATGGGTCTCAAACGCATTGACTTGATTGATGTAATATCAATTAAATAAGAACGAACTTGACTAATGCGTCCGAGAGGGGGTTTATGGGAGTCAAGACTCCTTAATATTGAATTTTATAACAGAATGATTAGTGTTCCTTCCAAGTTCCTTCCTGGTGGACTTCGATTAGCTCTAGAAATCGACTCCAGGTTAAACCCTAACTCATTCAACCCAGGTTCAATAAAATCCAAAAAATCAAATAGTTTCAGTTAAAAGACAAGCTTCATAATTTAAATTCTCTCACAACGAGCCTTCCAATCCTCAAACATTATTTACTAAAGTATGATTAGTCTCACTGTATATCATATAAGATCATCGATTGATTTTTATTATTACCATTCCGCCCTTTTATTTTTCTCATGTATTAAATTCTGATGTGTATTCATGTCCCATATAATAAGTGTGTATAACATTTCATCGCAAATACGCAAAGACGATGGCGCTGTTTGCTTGTCGACATAAATTTATATTTTATTTTCTTTACATGTGGAACTTTATGGGCTCATGGGAGATGTAGATGGAAAAGAAATATCATTTTGACGTTACTCGTTCACGACCACACTCACACATTCGCCATCATCATCATTGTCAGAATTGCATGAACCCTCAACCGTATATCCATAGTTACAATTCTCGTCATTTCCATTACAATAAAATCCATCGGTATCGACATGTGTTAGAAAATCATCGGAATCGATGAGCGCTGAAAGATTTGAGAATGTATCGTCGGATTCATCGTCATCACAGTCAAAGTATCGGCTCTGGATTGGATTATAAATGAGAATAAAAAACATTTTATTAGAAAAATATGGAAATGAGTATGGCTGATGGACGTGACTCGTATTTATGAAATAGCTTTTCAGCCGAAAATTACTGAAAATTGAGATGATGAAAATCCCCAAAAAAGTCCACTTCCATCAACATGCAAGCAAATGCAAACATCTGAAAAGCATAAAAGTGGTTTTTAATTTACCTGACATTCTATACATCTGCAACTCTCGTCAAATTCACACGTTATTCCTAGAATTTCTGCTGCCTCACGATAAAGCTCTTTGGAACTCTTTTGACTCGACTTACTCGACGATGTCAATTTTGTGCTGTTTGTAATTAAAAAGCATAGAGAGTACGGAATATAAAAAAAATTGTTAAGTCATAGCCACATAAAAGAAATTTGTATCTCATAATTGACTTCCATGTAGTTGTCTGTTTCTAGTGCTCAGTCATACATGCAACCAACAGACTACAAAGTGAAAGCAAATCCCATTCATTCATTCAACTCACTCATTTTGTAAATGACAAAAAATAAAAAAAAGCGGAGCAGATAAAAAAAGTGGAAAGTTGTGTTTTCACATGAAAGCAATGACAGTGAAAATTAATTGTGCTTATCTTATGCTCACTGTCTCCTTCTACATTCTATAATTTTAGATACACTGAAGATTATGAACTTTCTTGAACTTAATTTATATTGTTCTTTTAATGTGGAAATTTTTTGACACATAAATAAATTTCTGGGAAGATTTCCCATAAAAGATGAGCATTTCTAACTCATTGTTCGGTTTTGGGTGGATTATGGATTCCATGGGAACTGAATTATTGAGATGATTATCGTTTTCGAGGTACTTAGATATTTTATTTTTGAGTTTTGAGTATTCAAAGGGTTTAAAAATATGTTTTAAAATGATAAGGATAGAAAATTTGTGTGCGAAGTTCAGGTGAAGGCATTTAAGATTATTTATAGCTTGGAATGTTGAAAATAACATTCTCAAAGGATGAAGAACTGAAAAATAACAAAAAATTTGAGGATTTAAATCTTTGTAGTGTCGAGGAAAGGTTTGGAGAATCTCGAGGCATCTAAAATTTTATTTCAAAATTTAAAATCTGCAATCTAGTTGCAATCAGGCAATATCTGACTCAGAAACAATCATAGCTACTACATAGAGCCTGTTCATGTAACAAATTCATCATGCATTCACAGATTTAATCAAATTCTGACTCAGATTTAACTGAGACCAGAAGAATTAAAAGCTTGTCGTGCATGTAAATCTATCATTGATCTAATTATTGTTAATGTGTCATAGACTCTCATTTATATAGCCAATCTATTGTTTCCAGATATGTAATTTAATCTATTATAACATAAATTAGATTTCCCGTACCCAAATTTTCTTTCTTTCTCATGATACATCTCGAATCTCTTTCAAAAAATTCTAGGAATATGTAATAACATACATCAAGTGTTACCTAATTAATTTAAATTAATTGCTCCATGTTATTTATATTGCTGTAAAATTTTCTTGGAAAGCTTGATACTCTTTAACCTTGAACTTTTACAAAGAAATAAATTAAGGATTAACTTTTTTATGGAACATTTTATTTCAAATCATAAGCTTGTGAAAAAAAAAATTGTTTCGGAAAATTCTCAGATTAATTAGCAATTTTGATCTTAAGTTGGTATCTGGGGTTATCTAAGGCACCTACCCTAGTCACAGTTAAAGTGTAAAACAAAATGTCTTCGACTTAAATAGATTCTATCTGCAAAGGATACTGCTGGAACCAAAAACCTTTTCAAATCGAGGATCGCCTATACCAGTGTTGTCCAAACTTTTTGAGCCACGGCACACTTTAGGGATAAGCTATGACCAAAGTCGCACATAGCATGCGGATCGCATCATTTCCACTGCACACCAGTGTGCCGCGGCACACAGTTTGGACAACACTGGTCTCAAATTCTAGTAAAGGGTAGACTAGTAGCGCTAGGAACCAGCCTTTGATGCAGAACAAAGATCCAAGTGAGCACATAAAATTTAATAAATTAGGGGAAACAAGAGAATATTAAGTTTACATAGATTAAACACAAGACAAGTCCCTAAACGACTAAACTGAGCTTCAGCAGCCAAACCTTTCTGCAAAAAGCCCTCCTTTCGAAACTTAGACCAAAACTATGAATTTATGGCATCCTCATTTATTCCTTGCATTTTTAATCGATCGCTTCCACAAAAAACTCACCATTCCACTTAATTCCCATCCAATATCTTTTTACCATATTCTATTCCACTAATAACCATCTTCATGAGTTTCAGGATATGAGTGGAAGTAAAGTAATAAACACAATTCTCCCCACATTCAATTGCAGAAAAGCACCACTTGAGATTGTGCTGTCATTATGCTCCTATATTTGAATGCCACTTTTTGTGCTTCATTTCTCATCCTCTTACTATAACCCAATTCCCGTTTTGCAGCACAGAATAAAAAGAAATTTGTGTGACTTTAAAATAAAAACAGAAGAACTGACAGGAAAAAAGAGAATCAACTGCTGTTGCTGTTCATAAAGTCAACAAGAGCTTGAATGAGGATGCAAAAAATATTAAGGAGGCAAGAAGTGCTTGAAGGAAGACTTTCCGGATTGTCTTTTTCTCTGTTGATGTCATACTCGACATGCATGTGAATATTTTATAAACATAAAAGCGGGTATCATTGACGACAAACGACGTTGATTATGGATGAGAAAAATAAAAATACAAAATAAGAGTAAAGTGCTTTTTAAGAAGAGATCTATCGAAAGAAGGGGAGGGGGAAGGAAGTGAGAAGATTATTGGGCAAGACCGCGAAAAAAGTGAACAAATATTGAAAGTTGATTTACTCAGAGTTTAGTTATTCAATCGTCACAATTCTTTCAATGGCTTATAGCCAAATATAAAAACTTAACTTTTAACTCAAAAATTTTAAAATGGCGACTTCATAAGTTAGTTTAATTTCTAAATCAAAAATTCAAAGTGATTTTTCTCCAAGAAGGAAGCTGTTAAAGTAGCTGATATGTTCATAAAAGTTGTTGAGAATCTTATTTTCTTTCATTTATCATTCACACATTTTCAAATTAATACACAAAATTAGTTAAATTAACCAAAATTGATTTTACATATAAATTTAATGAAATTTTCATTATTGTCCCTCAAAAAGCATTAATTAATGATAAATTACAACTTTCCTGCAAGAGTTTACTGCAATAAAGCCTTCTAATTTAGTTAATTTAACTAAAAGTTTATTTTACAACTCTTTAATCAACTCAAAAGTTTAAATTTTCAAAAACGGTTAAAAATTTTTGATTAAAGTTTTTAAAGTTTTTGCTTTTTTCTTGTTCTATAACATTAAATTGTGATATATTTTGCTAGAACTAAGCATATTTGATGTATAATTATCATTTTACATCATAAAATTAAAAGAATATCTATTCAATTGCCATTTAAAGGCAATTTTACAAAATCACCAAAAAAAGTTAATTATACTACTTTTTTCAAAAATTTTTGGCTTCTATCATAAAGCCAAGGTCTAAAACTATATTTGTGTCAAGAAAAAAGTTAAGTAAGTTAAAAATTGATAGTAAAATATAGGAAAATAAGGTTAAAAACATTAATTAAATTAACTTATTAAGTCGCCATTTTGTTTTTATTACCTTTCAATGATAACCGTAGTTTTAAACTAACTATTGCTGAAAAAACTATCGAAATCGGTGTAAAACTAAGCGAGATAGACTAGTTTTAATAAAATTTCAAATACCCTTCCCAAAAATTCAGTGTCAGATTTTGCCTATTTTCAGGCTCTACAGCCTTAAGTATAGTACTTCCAATAAAAAGTTACATACCAAAAGATAGGCATCAAAAAGTTCTATAAAACAGTATGTTTAGATTTGCTGTAAGTATTTTCGTTACAGAGATATAAACGAAATAACAGCAAAATCTGACACTTAATCGAAAAACGGTCTTGCCCTATTGCTTAACACATAATAAGTGTAGAGTCAAAAGTGAAAAATTGTCATGTTATTAAGTTTTTAAAAGGATGTCGTCTTCTTCTTCTTAAATGTCAGTTTTTATCTTGACTTGCTTTTATGAATTTTTTGAGACTATCTTAGAAGACTGTAAGCCTTGGAACAACAGAGAACAGCTTTCATACTCAATCATTAAAATCTATACCTGATTAAGCATTCGGTAACCTCATGTCATTATTATCCATTCTAAATCAGCATATTTAAATGTCATTTTTTCCTCACATTTAAACAAAAATCCAGAAACTGATTCAATCAGCACGATCGTACCTCCTTTCAAATGACTAAACACTTAAACACACTACAAATCACGATTTGAACCAACTTATATATGAACATGGAAGCACTTTTATTGTATCCAAAATAATTAAGTACGAAAGAGCTTATTTAGCATGTGAGGAATGAAATGAAAATGCTGACAAAGAACAGCACTGCAAGCATCTTTTTCATTTTCTCTAGCTGCACAATCTTTCCTTAACAAAAAAAAAATTCCCCTTTTCGTGCTTATTGAGTCACATTTTCCTTCCAATTTGACTCTATTTATTTTCTTTTATTATTATCATTATTATTTAGTCATCTGAAAATGATACCGAACAGTCAATTTGGAGAGACACAAATAAAAATGCATCGAAGCATGAAGAAAAAAAAAATAATGTCGAATGAGGAAGACGAAAGGGAGATCATAGATAAGTGCTTTAAATTGTCTCATTTGTACGACGGAAAAGAAATCTTCACTCTTTCAGAGATGCACAATTCATTGCAGCTCATGATGAAAAGAAGAAAAAAAATGGCGGAAAATTCATCTTTAATGAATGACTGATGATGAATGGAAATGGAAGAAAATGGTTGAGTAATAATTGTGAAGGATATGATAAGAAGGAGTTTAAAAGCTTTGGAAATTGTGTTGTTGATTTGTCAAGTGCTTTATCAATTATGAGTTGATGGACTGAATAAAATGAGAAATAGAGGAGATTGAATTACTATTCAGATGAGTCTCCCCGGGATATTCTTTAGTGGTCTACTTAAGCCAGTGGTTGCAAACAATTTTTGTGCTATGGCACATCTTGATAAGCCATGGTCGGAACTGCAAATGGCATATAGTTTGTAGGATTTCATGAAATTTATCGTGCGACATAGGTTGGGCATCACTGACTTAAGCAATTGATATCAAATACTAAAGCCAGATTCTCATAAAGATTTGTCTCATATATTGATTAAGATTTTACTCTTGGAGACTCAATTAACTAAGGTACGTACAACAGGAAACGAGAATTACAAAAAATGCGCCTTAGTCATCAACTTTCAATAGTACAACAGAACAAAGACTTTATCCCTAGCAATAATAAACTTTCGCGTCATTATCTCATTAATGAACTTTATTATTCTCTTTTTTCATCCTCGACTACTTCGCATAATGAACGACAAACACGAATAAAATTCTACCACAGCATTCCATCTGCAATGTCGCAAATTTTAAGCGAAGTTCAGGAAGTAAAAAATTCTTGCAGCAATTCTTTTTAATTTATGTGAAGAAAAAAAACTAAAAGAAAAGAAAAGAAATTTTCTCATTTAAGGAAAATATATCAAACGTTATATGAATAATGCAGCGAAACAATTGACCTAAATTTGCTTCATAAATTTCAACTTGACTGCTTCGCATTTTTCCTTTTCCGCTTAGACACACAAAATACATTTAATGTGGAAACAAAAAAGTTTCAAACATTCTTGTTCATGTGATTTTATTTTATTTTTAGAAACAAGTTAATAAGATGCTCGATTTTGGGGTTGGGGATGTAAAGCTAGAGCATTTCCTTATGTGGCGAGTCATGGTGTCAATTTTTTTGGTCATTTCTCTTCATTTCTGTTCCATTTTTAGATTGTTTTATTTAATGGGAGTCATTTCGGTTAGTTTTAGGACTTAAATGTGACTTTTCTGGATATTTATAGACTGTTCGTGTTTAAGTTTGGGTTTATGGAAAGTTTTTCATCCACAACCTCTCCACATTCCCCAAAACTGCACAATCTTCCTCAAAAAATCAGCTAAAGCATCTAAGGAAGCATCCAATGACTCTCTAAACCCCTTTTAATGTATGTATATAAATTTCCTCTTTGTTTTCTATCCTATGCTATCATCATCGTCCGTAGAGGAATAAATTGAATTTTTCGGATGCTTCCGAGAGTGATTTTAATCGTTTTGCTGGAGCATTCAGTACAGAAAAAAAAACTTTTCAACCATCTTCATCGCACTCTTTTTCTCATTTTCCATGCCATGAATGTGAATGGGACGTTTTTTTTTGTCATGAATGAGTTGGAAGAAAAAGTTGTTGAAGCGGTCATGATGTCATTCTTGTATCTATAGATGTGTATGTAATTAGGAAAATGATTTTTAAAAGAGGTGAGATGGTAAACAATTTGGGGGTTCTTATGGATTGGACCCAAACGACCCTAGTTTGATCACAGGGAATGTCTATTCGAATTTTGGGTGCTCTTTCACTGTTCTAGTCATGGCAACTAGGTTTGTACGATTTGAGACGCGCAAATTGTGGCTAGGTCATTTGCATTGATATACTCTGGATCATTTAATTGTGCAGAGTCAGGCGCATAACCAGGGGGGGATTTAGGGGACAAATCTTGAGAAATTTCTTCATTTTACTACAGTTTTTATGAAAAACTCGAACCCCCCCCCCCTCCCAACCACCTTAAAAGTTTTCCATACAAAATAAAATTGTTTTCCCCCCCTCTTCAAATTCCTGGCTACGCCTCTGTGCAGAGTTACACGAATCAATCATCCGTTGAGGACAAATCCAATCTGCCTGTTTAGCAAATCACTCTTGGGTTTAAATTTAAAATTTAATTCAGACAAGGAAAGGATACGTTGGGTAGTACTATAAAGCAGGCCCTGACCTCTTCTCTGGCTAAACATAAGGTTAGATTTGTTTGACTATACTCACTCCATGCAAGACCTAGTAAGACCTTTCTAGCAAAAGAGAAAATACTTATCGATCAAGTAATCACTACACTAATTTAAGCTCATTATAAAACATTCTATAGTCCATTCATAATCTCATACTGAAGACATTAAAAATATTCCCATAATATACCTTAATTATAATCCTATTCCATACATTCAAAAGATCATTCAGAGCCTCTCCCAGAGATTATTAATAAAGAGCCTCTAAGCACACATTACATACATACCAAAAAAAATTAATTAAATGATAAGGAAGAGAGTAACTTACCTTTTACAACTATTTTTAGGTGAAACACTACTCGAATCAGATTCAATGCTGTTCGCTTTAAATAAGCTATCATGAAAAAATTTCAAAAAATGTGGTCGCTTTTTAATTAAGTTGTTATTGACTTCTTTTAGTTTGTCATTAATTTGATTATCTAGCAGCATATTTGTGGCTTTTGATTTCGATTTAAATGCGGCAGTTGATGGTGAATTTGTTGTGCGACGATAACCAGCCGTTTGCGTGCCAAATAATCCAATCATGTCAAATTCCTGTGCGCATTATGGTGATGCAATGCGAGAGAATGCAATTAAAAAAGTAGAAAAGAGAGAAAAATTGAGAATAATTATCGCGGACATAAAGTACTGAATTTTTTTTATTTATGGGATTTTTTTGTGACAATGTGAAAATGTGGTGGAGGAGATTGATGGAAAATTGATGACATTAAGCGCATTTTATTAGGGATTTAATTTTTATGGGAATTTTAACATGACTTATAGGTAAGAGATGTAGCTTAAACTTTCCTAATCAATTTGTAGCTTCCCTGATCATTTTGTAGCTTCCCTGATCATTTTGATTCTATTAAGTCATGAATTAGTCAAAAGCTAACTCAGATGTTACCAAACCTTGACCTTTATCAATGTCACTTTATTCTGGTAGATCAGTGCTTAATAAACATGAATATTCATTATACACAGCTTTGATTGCCACAAAATTCCCACATCAGCAAGCATAATGGCACCTTGAAAAATTCAGATTTCCATCCAAACGAGCACTTAAAATTAAAAACTTCCCCCATCCACATTTTATCATTTTGTATCATTAATGAGTCATCAAAATAGCATGTCAGAATGAGTTGTATTATCATTTATAAATTTTATGGGAAAGAGAATGAGAGATAAATGAATGAATATTTAATATGTCAATTCAATTCTATCCAACAATTCTCATATTATATATTCGGCATGACATAAAACTTACCCCATAGTTCGTGTAGTTCGTGTTCAGCACATAAACTGTATTTTGATTACAGTGCAGTATCATTTCATCCATTTCTGTTGAACAAAAAATAAATTAAAAAGAACAGAGTTGAAAAATTGCAATTAAAAACACTTTCAATTAGTGACATGTCACTGAGCACGAAATGAAATGCTTTTAAAAATGAAAAAATATAAAAAAAGCCCATCAAGGGATGGCAGCAAAGAGGAAGTGAGGAAAATTGGCTTAGGAAATTTATTCATGAATATTTTGTATCATAAATTTCGTGTTTGCACGTAACGGCTTTTATTTAATTGACTTTTTAATTGAGGAATCTCTCATGATATGTATGAGATTCTTGTATAATCAAGACATGAAATGGAAATGTATGGAAATTATATGGATAAATATTGCTCGGATGTTTCTGGCTGTGAAATTAATGTTGTTTTTTTTTGGCAGGAGAATTTGTGAATTTAGGTATGAAAATGACAAGGAGGAAGTGAATTAAATTATAGGTTCCATTTTTCTGGCAATTCACGAGCTATTCAGATATAGTTTATATTTTAGCATTAGTAGAAAACTTAAGGTTCTTCCTGAAAACGTTCATACTGTAAAATTAATAAATTGCACCGCATTAGACTCGAACTCACGACTTCAGAAATAAATGTTTCTTCTTCATGTCTTTTCTAAATGACCAGAATGGCTATATGTTGCAATATGCATCTTAATTGAAACACTTTAAGCAGTGATTCTAAAACTTTATTGATTTACGGCACCCATGACTACATTTTGGAGGTTTAAAATTGTCAAACTTCAGGTAAAAACTCAATTTTAACAAATAAATTAGCCTAAGTGTATCTGAAGAGTTATGGACCCGAACGCACAGTTTGAGAACTACTGGTATAAAGAACCTCTAAGGATAAAGCAGTACTTGGGGTCTTCGATTTTAGTAGATTCAATTTGAATACGATTTTTTAGGAACAAAGCACCTACTCAAATCGAGGATCCCCCACTCTTGAGAGAAAAATGCCCTAGCAACCCAAAGTAATTTTCCATAAAGTGGAGAGGGTGGATAGTCTCTTGATAAAGAATAACCTATGGCTTTAAATTTAATGCAACAGACTTTACAAGATAACCAACAATACACCTTACATCAGAAGATACACTGATGTAAGGTACACTTAAAGGTACAGAGAGCAGAGAGTATCTTCCCCTTGAGTATGTCTCTACATACACAAATCCACAGTCTTTGAAAATCTCAACAAAAAACTTCCCTACAGAAATTTAATTACGTCGAAAGAATCTTTTAAAGTAAAAACTCTACAAAAATAAGATTAAACTATTCAAACGAGAAAGAACAAAGTAGCTTCTAGAACACCTTAAAATGAATAAAAAGCCACATTAAGCTCGGAAATAAAATTTTTCGTCTCCTTTCCTCTTTTCAACATCAAATTAAATATTTGCAAAGCTGAAAGTTTCATCGCAAATCCATTTTGAATCCTTCACAGATAAATATTGCTCACTGGATGTTGTGAGTGAGTAAGTGAGATGGATATAAATATTTTTTCAACAAAGACGTGTCTTTATGCAGCATAAATTTCACGTATAAGTGTATGTAGATGAATGTGATGACATTCTTTCTTATAATAATAAAGAAAAGAGGAGAAAAAAATATTTTTTTCAAAAGAGTTCCACTTGAGGACTTGAATGAATGGGAGAGCATAGAAAGCATACGAGAGCAGCTGCTGGAATGAATAAGTGTAAAGTTGAGGATGACGATAATGAAGGAAGTTAAGTCTGCAAACGTGGTCATGTTGTGTGTGGGAATTAATGTTGTAATTGAGTTATTCATTGCATGGTTTTTAATTACGAGACGACAAAGTTTTATAGAAAAAGTTTTACTGGTAATAGGATTAAGCTACATGGTTTAGATAGGGATCTAATGTCTCTACTAATCGGACATGAATGGGACAGGTGTTTTGTTGGGGATTTTTGTTCTTTTATCTTGTTGTTCGAAACTGTTATGGATTAGTTTCGTTGCGCATATTTTTTTGTAACGAAGAGTTTGAATAATATGCAGAATTTCTGATTTTTTACCGAAAGTTTCGAACTTTTTGACATAAGTCTTGAGCATTTTGATTAGAATCAAAGCTTTTTGACAAGGATCAAAGCTTTTTGACAAGGATCAAAGCTTTTTGACAAGAATCAAAGCTTTTTCACAAGAATCAAAGCTTTTTGACAAGGATCAAAGCTTTTCAAAATTCAAATTCAAATTCAAATTTATTAAACCTTAAACGGTTGTATAAAAATATAGTAATTACATAATTAATGGATAGAAAAGTGATTAAAACCATCTAATAACAAAAAAAAAAAAAAAAAGAAGAAAAAAAGTAATTCAGTTACATTAATTCATAGATTACACAAGTGAAGAGAGAGAAGTCATGTGAGGCAGAAGAATTAAGAGGTCATTACTTCCAGAAATATTATTTCAATTCAATAAAGGAGGGATAAAGAATTCATTCAGTGACGAGATTTTGATTTCAAGGTTTTCGAAGAAGATGATGTACTAAATCGTGCTGTTATTTGGAGATTTAAATAAGTTCTCGCGTATGGGTGTGTATCCGATGATAAATGTGACCGGTAAGTATTAATTCTTGGTCCAAGTCTGCTGAAAATGGATGAGCTGCTCTGTGACGAAGTAGCAGTTATTTTCTTACGATCAGTTGGTTTTGGAGTTAAGTTCACATTAGTCGGAGTATTTCTCTTCATTGCTAAAGCTTGCTCATTGGAATTGCAGTTTAAAACATCGATTTCAGACAAGGCAGACCAAAGTTGCTTCGAATTTAACGAGCTGTTCATAGCATTTGAGAATTCGCTACTCTTTACTTCAGGAATGAGATGTAGAGTTGACGAGCAGAACGACAATGAGCCAAAAGCTGCATTCAGTGATCTCATAACATTATTATTGATGCTACTAGTCTTGATGAAAAATCTCAAAGCATAATCAGACTTTCCAGAGCACTCAATATGATATCCGTAGATTTCAATTAATTTATTGCCGTTATTCAATTCCTTAATAATCTTTTTGACAATTAGCTCCGGACTCTCTTTTAGGCAATTAGTTATAAGATTGATGACATTACCAGTGCAATGACCAAAGGGATAATAAGTAGATTTGCATTCGATCAATTTTTCACTAATATGAGGCACCACGATCATGCATATTATTTCATTCAGTAATATAATACTGAACTTACCAAAGCAGTTTTTAAGAATGTCCTTCTTCGTCTTATCACTTACTGTACGAGAGTTATTACGTGCTCCGACCAGTGCTATCAGAAAGATTTCAAGGAAATCAGTCAATAGGACCTCGATGAGACACGTATAATCTCCTTTCCAGTAAATTCCTTTAATTTTTACATTATTGTCCATCAGTAGCTTGTGAATTGATCCAGTGAACGAGATTATTTTACTCCCATTCTTATTTATGAATTTAAGCACAACAACTTCTGAATTTAAATACTTGGCATCATCAGTTTCGCCTAAAAGATCCTCATGGCTAGCACAAATTTGAAGGACGTCATCATCTATGACTGTAGACATCCTCAGTAAAATTCTACAGAAATTTAATTACGTCGAAAGAATCTTTTAAAGTAAAAACTCTACAAAAATAAGATTAAACTATTCAAACGAGAAAGAACAAAGTAGCTTCTAGAACACCTTAAAATGAATAAAAAGCCACATTAAGCTCGGAAATAAAATTTTTCGTCTCCTTTCCTCTTTTCAACATCAAATTAAATATTTGCAAAGCTGAAAGTTTCATCGCAAATCCATTTTGAATCCTTCACAGATAAATATTGCTCACTGGATGTTGTGAGTGAGTAAGTGAGATGGATATAAATATTTTTTCAACAAAGACGTGTCTTTATGCAGCATAAATTTCACGTATAAGTGTATGTAGATGAATGTGATGACATTCTTTCTTATAATAATAAAGAAAAGAGGAGAAAAAAATATTTTTTTCAAAAGAGTTCCACTTGAGGACTTGAATGAATGGGAGAGCATAGAAAGCATACGAGAGCAGCTGCTGGAATGAATAAGTGTAAAGTTGAGGATGACGATAATGAAGGAAGTTAAGTCTGCAAACGTGGTCATGTTGTGTGTGGGAATTAATGTTGTAATTGAGTTATTCATTGCATGGTTTTTAATTACGAGACGACAAAGTTTTATAGAAAAAGTTTTACTGGTAATAGGATTAAGCTACATGGTTTAGATAGGGATCTAATGTCTCTACTAATCGGACATGAATGGGACAGGTGTTTTGTTGGGGATTTTTGTTCTTTTATCTTGTTGTTCGAAACTGTTATGGATTAGTTTCGTTGCGCATATTTTTTTGTAACGAAGAGTTTGAATAATATGCAGAATTTCTGATTTTTTACCGAAAGTTTCGAACTTTTTGACATAAGTCTTGAGCATTTTGATTAGAATCAAAGCTTTTTGACAAGGATCAAAGCTTTTTGACAAGGATCAAAGCTTTTTGACAAGAATCAAAGCTTTTTCACAAGAATCAAAGCTTTTTGACAAGGATCAAAGCTTTTTGACAAGAATCAAAGCTTTTTCACAAGAATCAAAGCTTTTTGACAAGGATCAAAGCTTTTTGACAAGAATCAAAGCTTTTTGACAAGAATCAAAGCTTTTTCACAAGAATCAAAGCTTTTTGACAAGGATCAAAGCTTTTTGTCAAGAATCAAAGCTTTTTGACAAGAATCAAAGCTTTATGACAAGAATCAAAGATTTTTCACAAGAATCAAAGCTTTTTGACAAGGATCAAAGCTTTTTGACAAGAATCAAAGCTTTTTGACAAGAATCAAAGCTTTTTGGCAAGAATCAAAGCTTTTTGACTGGGATCAAAGCTTATTGACAAGAATCAAAGCTTTTTTTTTAAAAAAAGGCAATAAGAAGAGCTTTCTTAAATGAAGTAGAGCTTCTGATAAAAGATTAAACTTTTTGACATGAATAAGAGCTTTTTGCCAAGATGTAAAGTTGTTGTGTTTTTTGACATAAATTTTGAGCTTTTTGACAAGAAGTGAAGCTTTTTAAGTTGGAATAAAACTTTTTAAAAATAATATTATGTTCTTGACAAGACTAAAGCTTTTTGACAAGAATTAGAGCTTTTATACTTAGAAGTTGAATTTTTTGACAAGAATTAGAGCTGTTACTGACATTCAGTAGAGCTTTTGACAAAAAGTGGATCTAATTCAATATTTGTTGATGCTTTTCTAAAAAGTTTGACTATAATTCAATAAAAATCAAAGAGCTTTCTAAAGCTTTTCAAACTTAATTCTTAAAATACAAAATCAATATTTTCATAGCATTTCATCTGTTTTGTGAAAAAGAGGACTCAACAATTCACTCTCTAACCTCAATTCTTTTAATGAAAATTTTTACCATAGGAACATCATCCAACCCTAATAAAAAAACTCAGAAATAAGCTCATAATCCACTCCCCCCCCCCCCCCCCAAAAAGGAAAAAAAATTCAATTAATTGATAATTTTAATACAGTCACCATAGCATCATCAAGGCTTTGAGGCATCTCAGTAAATACACAGCCATCAGATCAAAGGAACAAAAGTTTCAGCGCTAATAAAGAATATTTTTAATTTTTTTCATCTCCATGGGATTAAAATTACGCAGAATGCAACTGAAATTTACATCAAAGCAAGTTCCAACCGTCGTCAACAACATTCGAGCAAAAATATTATTTTTCATGACACAAAAATAACAAAACACAACAGGAGTATAAAAATAAATGTTTAAGGCACTAGGAATTAAATTTTCTGTTCGGTTTTGATGACTATTTGATGACGACTCTATTATATAAGCTTGATTGATGGCAATGTGACTCCATAAAAGCATACTTTTCCAATTTTAATCCCAAAATGTAACCCTACGGTTAGAAAAGTAGAAGCTAAAGCTGAAATATTCAGTTCTATGTGGTCTACTCGGTTTCATATTGTTCAAGACACATGAGACATAACTCGAGCATTATTTTGTTCTATTTCTCAATTGTTTTTGAGGTTCGAGTATGTGGATATCATGAACATTGTATTTCTACTATTTCTATCACATCCATAATGGATATGTGTATTATGCTTGGATATGCAAAAACCAAACATCTCAAATATTTGATCTTCTTTATTTTATTTCATTTTTTCATGACCTTCGCAATACCGTAGCTATAGATTTATATTTTTCTTCTTCACAGCATGAAAGAATGTACGCTGGTGAAATTTATATATCATACGTTGTGAAAGAAGTGCTGCTTCTGCATTCCTGTACAGAAAAATAATATAGATATAAAAAAATATCTAGTTTGTAAGGCTTCGTCACTTTGTGAAATGGATATTCATGAGAAAGTTTTTTTTTTTTATTTCCAACTGAAAGTTTTAGAACAAAAAGTTTATCGTAGTGGATGGAAATTTATTGTTACCAGAGATGTATGGCTTGAAGTTTTTGCCTCCACTCATTCTTCTTGTTTTTAGAGTTGGAAGTGCTCATAAATTCATTGCTTTTCTATTTTTAAATATTATTTTTTTAAAGGGGTAGAAAGCATCTTTAAGCATCCTTAACACATCAGTTTAATACTTCATTGGCTAGATTATTGGCCGTACGAGAGGTTTTGTAGGGCCAGAACTCATTTTTCAATTTTTTTTTTTCAACATCCAACTTGATTGAATTTAATTCTTCTTTATTATTATATTTTCTTAAATTGTGTCAGTCTATTTCAAAAAGTAAGAAATAAATTAGGATTTGTTATGCTAAGGCGCATTTTAGAAGCTTTTCAGTGACCTACATCATTAGTGTCAACCTTCTCCATGTTTCCTTAAGTTACAAAAATTGACTTTGAGATATACTAAGAGCTTTGTATATTAAGAGGCTTTAAATACAGTATGGACTAATGTAAAGCATCTCTCCTCTCTCCGCTGTTAAGTGATAAGTAAACATTTCTTTAGAGATCCCTTCCGATAAGCACTAGTCAGTTGATTGATTAGAAATCCAACACCAAACAGGCGTGACTCAGACTTAGAGCCGTATTTAAATCGAATTCTCCTAAATTTCAGAGCCATACCAGCTTAGCATAGTTTTGATAGGCTTTTAATCGATCCTTTAAAGTACTTATTCCGGCACAGGGCTATTCGCCAGCGGTGCATTTAACGAGAGAAGGTATGCACTTGATATTTGGTCAGCTTCGGAGTCAGACTTCGGCTTTCCCAATCCCTCTTTCTGATCGATTAACCAACTTGTTCTTTCCGGGTCTTCCACTTGGTCACATTTACGTGACCTATGTTCATGTCTATCTGCACTAGATATGTTCTTATAGGTTGTAGCGATAGACGTAAAGTCATTCAGACATTCCTAAAGTCTAATAATATCTTTTCACAAAAACACACAACAAAAATAAAAAAAATTCTCATTCATTGAATTTCCTAAGCAGATCCCTTGATCAGCAAAATTGGAAATCTCTTCTTCAACCTTCTCGTCTTGAAATCATTAAAATGCTAATAATATCAGAAGAAATTTCATTCTTTATGTCGCTTTTACGTTGCTGTGTTTAGATCTAAGGATTATTTCTTGTGTTCTACAAAAGAAAGTAAAATCCGTAAATGAAATCAAAATTAAGAGACAAAAGGCAAATTCAATGCCTGAAACCTTAAAACAAAAAAGCAACAAAATGTATAGAAACTTTGTACATACTTAAATTTAAATGTAAATAAATAAAAAGTTTAATTTAAAAAAAAAAAAAAAAAAAAAAAAATCTTGTGTTCTACAAATAAAATAATTGAAAAAAAGAAATCTTTTGATGAAATTTCTGTCATAAATATAAAGCAGTCTTCCATTGTTATGTCTGTTTATTTAAAATTATACTCGAAATGGCATTAAAATTTTAAATTTATGTGAATAAGTTGAATTTATATTGTCATGAATGAATGTCTTTTGTTGGCAACTGACTATCTTGTGGATGCCTTTCATATGATTATAGATTAGTTTATTGATGCTATGTACAACTAGTTGGCAAAGGATTTTTACAAGATGGCATGGCTTAGATAAGAGAAGAATGGGGGCAATAATAAATTGAGGCACAAAATAGGGTCGTTCGCATACTTTTGATTTTCCTTGTTTGTATTAAATATCGTAATGGAATCAAGACTAATTAATCTGGGCCGTAATAACACGTTGAGGTCAAAGGAAGTGGGGGGTCTGGTATAGTGTTACAAAATATTCGAATTACCTCCAAAAAATTAAATCATGTAAATTTATTTAACATTTTCAAGCAGAAAAGTGATGACTAAAATCAACAATCTAGCATTTCTTGCTGCTATCATCAAGATTCTACAGTACTCGTGGAATTCTCAAAGCAAATAGACAACTTTCGCTAAATAAACTGTTTGGCTTCATGCATCGTTTGAATTCACTAATTGCAATTATAATTTCAACGGAATTAAAATCAACTACAAGTATTTAAATACTTGAATAAATAGCTAGTCAATTTAAAACCAATTTTAAGGGTAATTAATTATTCTGCAAAAATTTACATTCCAATGTTGACAT